TTTTTTCCAAATTAATGATTTTTTTTCAAATCAGTGAACTTTTTTTAAAATCGATGAACTTTTTTAAAATCCATGATTTTTTTAAAAAATCCAAGAACCTTTTAAATTTTCATGATCTTTTTCAAATTTAATGAACTTTTCAAAGTTTTAAATTTTTGTGGAATTCGTGAATTATTTTAAAATTTTGTGATCTTTTTCAAATTCACATAACTTTTAAAAATTTGTGAACTTCTTGTAGATTGGCAAACTTTTTTCAAATATGTAATATTTTTTCAAATTCATGAAACTTCTTCAAATCTATCAGTTTATAAATCCGTGAACTTTTTGTGTGTCCCATGAACTATTTTCACATCCAAATTTTTTGTCAAATTCATAAACCATATTCTAAACCCATCAAACTGTTTTGATTTCAGAGTTTTTAAAATCCGTAAACTCTAATACAAAGGGAACAGAAAAAATCAGCAAAAACAAGAGAGAATAATCTATGTCCGAGAGAGAGGAAAGTCGAACGAGCGAAGGGGGCACTAGATGGACCGTGGCCCAGAAACATTCGTAGTGTGCGCTAGGGAGAATTCACGGTGCAATAGGCGTAGAAGACGAGATCTCTTCGGGGAGTAGCATGAAATTGATGGCGCCCGACTATGCCAGCCCATTCGTGCGCGGAAATAGAAAAAAAATACCAAAAAGCGAATAGTAGTGCGTGGGCTTTAACCTTGTAAAACTCGCTACTGAGCGCTCGGCGAGAGCCCACACAATTTGATAAGCTTACATGTCTAACTATTAAACTCGGACTACTGGAACTATCCCTCAGCGACCAGTTTACTGTAGTGAATCGGTCTTTTCCCCACTATTTCTTTTTCTTTTTTTATACTTTTTGTTTCTTTCTTTTTCTTTCTCAAAAAATGCTCAGACTTTTAAATTATGATTATAAATTATTATTTCTTCAAGTATTTATTAAATGTAGTTATGTTAAAAACTTAAAATAACAGTTGTAAGTACTTGTTGACGGAGATATGCGCACGGCGACGATGTGATCTACGTTAATACCCATGAAAAAACGCACCCACAGCGCGACGCCACGTGTGGACCGGCCTAGTAACGCCCACTTGCCTCAGGGCGGGACGGGGCGACGCGAACTGGGTTTAGTCCCACCTCGATGCGGCAGCAGCGCCTTGACAGGCTTAAATTGTCAGTTCCTCTGCCTGTCATAAACACAGGTCTTCATTGTACTCTTTTGTTTAGGATATGGACTGCTACCATGAATATTCGCTCGTTCAGAATTGGGAAAGTTCATACGGGTAGTTCATATTCTTCAAAACGAGAGCATTGATAACTATTGTATTTATAAAAAAATATTAAATTATTCGTCTTGTGACGTATTTTTCCAGCCCATTGCACGAAAAAAATCGCATGGAAGGAATATCTAATGACTAGGAACATTTAACACACAAAATTGAATGGTAAAAAATATTGAAGACATTAAAGGCCTCGAAAGTGCAAAAATACAAAGGTAAACTTGGTTCTATGCGCACCCACATGAATAGTAAATTCAAAAAAATATTAGAAATTTGTTAAAAAATCAGAAATCTTAGGATATCAAACTTGACCCTATCAGGACCCCGACTCAATGCCACACCGATCTAGCATGTAACACCTCATATCACTTTGCGGCCTCACGCACGGTATCCCCACGGGTGTCGCCTTAACAAGCTCGGAACTGTTTGCGCCTTTTGGCACACATATATGATAGTGTCGCTAGCATCAATATGACAAGGAGCCCGGGCTGACATGGTTAGTCATGAACCCAAAGTGGCACTAACTTACAGGGACAGGCATACATGACCCAGCATCGAACGTGTCGGTCATCAGCGAGTGAATCCGGGTTGTAGCAGCTGGGCTAGCAGGACTCCGGAGAATCCGGGCTGTAGCAGGCTAACAGGACTCCGGTAGACAGCGCGTGACATTTCTCCGAAGGGACAGACACAAGAACGAAGAAGGACACATGCCGGCCAGCCTAAGTGTTCCGGAGCAGTAGCAAGCTATCATGGCTCAGTGGAAGCACTAGGAGACATTTCCCGGTAAGAGAGGCTACCAAGGATAAACAACTAGATAGTCAGATCCCACACATACCAAGCATTTCAATAACATACACACAATATGCTCGATATGTGCAAATACAACATGGCATCATAACATGACTCTACAACTCAAGTAGTTTATTCAATAGGCTCCGAGGAGCGAGATATTACAAACATGGGTCTCATGACCCAACATTCAGAGCATACAAGTCAAAGCACATGCGGAAGCTTAACATGTCTGAGTACAGACATCTACAAATGAAAAAGGCTGAGAAGCCTAACTATCTACCAGATCCTGCCGAGGGCACAAGATCGTAGCTGAGGTAACAAGCTAAATGTCGAAGTCCACGCGGAACTACTAGTGAGACTGAAGTCTCTTTGCAAAAACATAAAATAGGCAAACATGAGTACAAATGTACCCAGCAAGACTTACATCAGAACTAACTACATATGCATCATTATCAACAAAGGGATGGTGGGGTTTAACTGCAGCAAACCAGCTTTGACTCGGTGGCTATCCTGAACTACGACTGCAAGCAACTCTTTTGAGGTGGCGCACCCGAGTCCACATATTCACCATATCAATACACCATTATGGATCCGCTCCCGTCTCCCTATGAGATCGCCATCCATAGCACTCACGCTTATCTTGCGTATTTTACAGTATCAACTTATGAATGGAACAGGGGAAAGAAGAAATACTGCAGCTTATGAATGGAACATGTACTTACCAAGACTTGCATACATTTGATTCAAGCAAAAATGAAATTAGTTAATGGAACATGTACTGCAGTATTTGATGCCAAGAAGGCTGTACTTACCAAGACTTGCATACATTTGAGTGGAACATGCATCAAACTAATTAATCAATAGCCAAATTTAATTTGTACGGTCGGGTGCTGTATCTGTAGGAGTTTCTTCCTCTTCCGTTAATCACAGGGGGAAATGAAATTAGAGAGACAATCCTGAACTGACATGTTGTTTAATCACTAGAATTTGAAATGTGAGGTAAAGATACAAACATCACAAAGGCCTCTTCTTCTATCCCTGAATTATGTCAAGCTGCATAGTGGCACAGTACATGTCCTTTGGCAATGAATGAATTATCACAATATGGCATGTGCCACTCATCAACGTCCATCTCTCAGAGAGTTAACAAGAGCATGTCCTTTGGCAATAAATCATCCGCTCAAATTTGAAATGGAGTTAACAAGATGGACAAAGCCACCCCCAAAATCATGTAAACCGAGGCTTTCGAACCTCTCGGTCTCAGCGTTCACTGTCTGAATACCTGTATGCATGGTGTAAGCAGATCATTCAGTCAGTAAAATAAGCAGTTACTGCTGCAGCACCAGCTCCAAGAGACCTATTTACAATTGTATACATGGCAAACAAGGATGCCTCTGGTGCAAATCCTTCAGGATCTCAAACAAGTTGATTTTCAGCGCCATTCTATTCAGCGCTGGAACTTGAGATACATAATTTTGAGTACATACAGGGTACATGATCTATACAAGTTGTCGGTCTGCTGAATTTAACTAAAGGAATCACACACCGATGATAAGAAAAGCTTTATTATTTTTTTTAACAAACTTGTCGCTCAGGAATGTTGGATTATATATATATGGGCACACAGGTGGAATGGTGGAGTTCCCCAACAGTTGGCTCATGCTTCAATCAACAGGTTTGATTAGTTTATCAATGAAGCAACAAGACATTTGTTCATCTTGTTAGTTTTCCTACACCAAATTATCCTTCAGCCCCCAACATCAACCTAGGTAATCTGCAGTGCAGAGTAATATGGACACTGGCTTTCAACTGGGGCAGAACAAGAATGAACATGGCCGGTCAAAGTAATGGGTGGGTATGTAGCAACTAGGGATGCAGAGCGGACGGGTTTGCGGGCTACAGACTAGTACAAATCCATCTCTAGCTTAGTATTAATCTTCCACCCAGAAAATGAACTAGCAGGCTGGTTTTGCGGGATATCCACACAAAGACACACAGAAAAGTGAGATATTACTGTGTATATGTTTGTACCTCCATAGTGAGTGTTCCAGAACATGCAATTGCAAGCAGATAGGGTAAGGTGATGAATCATATCCTCTGGTTTCTGTAAACTAACATTAATGTTCATAAACCTGGAATTAATTAATACCCAGGCTAGGTTTTGACTGACATTTGTTCATAAACTGGAATTAATTAATACTACACAGCAAGGAAATATGTGTTCATAAACCTGGTACATGGCACAGCTACAACAACACTGAAATTTGCAGAATCTTCAAGCTCTGACCTTCCTCTGCGATGGAGGGCGCCCGGCCCAGGAGAAGAAGGCTCCTAGGTACTGGACCAAGAGTTCACACTATCACTGTCATGGTAACCACAATTCTTGGTCACCTGTTTTGTTATCCAGGTTCGTTCCCTTAATTCCAGGAAGGATCATAAGATGACTTTCTAGAAACATCAACATTCTTCTTCTTTAGAGTAGCTAGCTAGAATAAGGTTTTGTTTTCATAATAGGGAAGGCACAAAAGAAAGATCTTGTGTTCGACACACCTAATAAACAGAGAAATAATATACGAGGATACAACAATTAGATAGGGGAACTTCCATACTGCTGCAATGCCAGATCAATTTGCGCTTACACCTAAAAGAATTTACAGACCAACCACTCCATCAACAGACAGTTTGCCCAGCAAATATGCAAATTATACAGTACTCCCTCTGTAAATTAATATAAGAGTGTTTAGATCACTAAAATAGTGATCTAAACGCTCTTATATTAGTTTACAGAGGGAGTATATGACAAGACAAAAGCAAGACACGCAGACTACAATCTCTCTAGAGGATCCCACATATGCATAAGGCCGTCACTTGAGATCTAACCAAGTTACATGTACTTACTGCATACAGAAAGTGTTAGTTCCGGTGGTTGGAAGCAAGCTTGGCAATGAGCTCCTTTAAAACCGAGGGATAGGTGTCAAAGACATGATCCCAGCCATTAGATGCCATTAATGTTTGCAGGCATGAGGGGGACTGGACTTGGATAAACTTGAAGCACGCCTCTTTCAATCCATGGCAGTGGTGCTGCTCGGCTAGAGCAAGAGTGGACATGACCGAGCTCACACATATGTGCTCAGACAACTCCCTTTCACAGATGCACTTGAGGCGTTGGACATCATATCTGTCAGCCGCTACCAACAAGTTTTGCAGCCATTGCAGCCACATGCGTGCCTCTGATAATGTGGTCTCCTTTTCTTGTCCTTGCTCCGCAATTTGTGACGTTTCGTCCTCCTCCATGCTATCATCATCCTCCATAGCAGGGAACGTATCCGTGTAGATGAAGGTAAGCAAGGCCCTGAACACGCTTGCTTCCATGTCTTTGATCCGTATGACACCAGCCTTAGTGGTGCCCTCCTTCATGGGGCCAAAGAGTTGTGACATGAATACCTTGGATCGGGCGGCGAGCACACAGCGGTGTGCAGCCATCGTCTTGCCGCCAACCTCGAATTCCACATCAGCACCCACCTCGGTATAAAGGAGATGTTCAAAGTGCTGGCACATGTGAGGCAGGAGCGCGTTGGTGGCATCGTCGTCCTTGGGGTTGCAGGAGCAGGAGACCATGATGTCGCACCGGATGGTGAAAGAATCGTCCTTTAGACGCAGTGATGATTGTTCAAGGGCTTGTGTTGTCATGAACTTGCGTCTGGCCCGAGAAAAACCATTGAAGCTGTATGTTTCAGCTTGAGCAATGTAGACTGGATTCTGCATCTCAACCTGGTCTATGAAACTGAAAACGACCTTGGCTTCCACCACATGCTGCTGCTTCTTGTTGGCATCGTCTTGGAGACAGGAAAGCTCGAGAGAAATGAAGTCGGCACAGTCCGAGTCTTCACCGTTGGGGTAGTAGTTGATGATCCAACAATGGCCTCCCACCATAAAAGGACGGGAGCTGATGCTCTCGCCGGTGGGCGCCTCTTGCTTGGTGCGCGGGTAGTCGTGGACCACCAGCAGGTGATACCCGCAGACCGCGCTGGTGCCGACGGTCGACGCGGTGGCAGGGCACAGATTGCCGTCGGCCAGGACAGATACGCCGGCGAACGACGACATCACCTACCTGCGAATCTACCTGCTCAGTCGCCATTGACGCTCCAAGATTTCAAAGTTGGGATGGATGGATGAGCTGAGGGCCAAACCTGGGCTTGCACCGGCGCTTGGCTTCTCCCTGGAAGCTGGAAACTAGGAGGGTTTGCGCCGTCGTCGATCCTCCCGGAGATTGGCGGCGGCGGCGCCTCGTCTGTGCGTGCCTAGAGCAGCTATTAGGGTTACCAAGTTTTGGGCTTTGAGGCCCTCATTGTACACGGGCTGCAAAATTGTTTGTTTTTGGGCCAAGCCTGGTATCAATTTTTTAGTTGAGCCTGATATTTACGACAGTAAAATTGAACCACTGTTCAGGGATGCAGATTGGTGAACATGGTATACCAGGCTCAATAACATATGTAGTCAACCGGTATACCGGCGTATGGAGTTTCATGAAAAAATGTCATCCGTCAAAATCTAGGGAAAATTGAAGCTATACTAAAAAACTATTTGATGAATAGTATGGTCTCAATTGTATTTTCTTCACTAAGGATATCATTTGTCAATACTTTACGCAACTTTATACATGAGTATAATGGTGGGTCAATGTCACATCCCTAGCTACTGTTACTTCTTAGTGCTAGCATCTGGTGTTGCATCATGTTTAAATTTCTCAAAAACTTGAAATGGGGATGACAGAAACCCCCAGCACCCCTTTAAACCAATTAGGGTTTACAAAAATCATTTTAAATGAACCCAAATGCCCTTCTAAAATGTTCATCATCTTTGTCTTGGTTGAGAACCTCTAACAATAATGATGCACACTTTTCTAGGGCAACAGAGGGTCACTGGATTAAATCATATAGTATTTGCATTTGGACATTTAAATGCTAAATAATATTTTAAATGTTCAAATAATCATAAACTAAAATGTTTGCTGCTGGTTATATTCCAAACAGTGGCATTGAGAAGTTTCATGATTTTTGGATCTGTCTAGGTATTTTTAATAAAGCCCAGAACAAATAACAAAATAGAAAAACAGAAATAAAGACAGAGAGAGAAGGACTTACCTGCACCCACCTGCGGCCCGCTACTGTAGCCTGCTGGCAACCCAGCTGGCAGCCCAGCCCACCAGCGCCCCCTTGTCATCTTCCTCCTCTGCCAGGAGGACAACCAGGTGCGTGGCGAGCGCCGACGCTGCTCTGGCCACCTCCTGCTTCCCTGGCCCCTTCTAGCGACGCCACGGAGACGCCCCGAAGCCTCTGTCCCCTCTTCCTCACTCGCTGCTCTCTTTCCCCTCCCCTGGCTCTCTCCCTTGAACTCACCCTAGCGCAGCCGCCGCCGCCGACCAGCGCTCGCGCGGCCCCAGCCAATCCCTTGCTCCCCTGACGCGTCCGAGAGCTCTGCCATGTCGTCCTCGTGTTCTTCACCGAGCCACAGGAGCTGGGTCGCCCTGTGATGCCGCCATCGTCGTCTTCTTCCTCGTCGGCCGTCGGAGATCCCTCTCGCTGTTCCACTCACTCCGGTGCTTCCCCGAGCTCGTCGACCCACCCAACGTGCTCACCGTGAGATCCTGCCCCGATGCCCCCCCTCTCCTTTGCCTCGTTTGCACGTCACAGCCACCGTGTCATCTACGCCCGAATGCGCAGCCGCCGAGCTCGTCGCCGACGAGGCTCCGGTGACCTTTTGGTCCCGCGCTTATGCCCATTGGCCTCGTGAGTGCGTGTAGAACACGTAGGTACTAACCGCTTGTCTCCCCGCGCGATGCGTCGTCGGTTTCGTCGACGTCCGAGCTCCGGCCGCCGCGCGAAGTCGACGTCGTGCTCAACTCCGGCTAGCTCGCGTCCTCCCACTGCCACCGCTGGACGCGCACGAGCTCCAGCTCACCGTAGAACCCACCCACACGACCAGTCGTGGCCGGAAACGGCCAGCTGGTGATCGCCGCCGTGCACTGCTTAGCGCCGGCGATTAGTCGCCGGATAAACCCCACTGTTAGTGCTAATTAACCACCCATACTCTCACCGCCATGTGGGCCCTAGTGCCTAGTTAGTTAGTTAACTTCTCTATTAGATTAGCACTGAACTCAGGTGGGCCCCACCTGTCACTTTGACTTTGCCACGTCACACGTTGACCGAGCCCACACGTCAGTGTTGACCCGGCTGACGTGGCCGTTGGCCAGGCCCACCTGTCAGCGACACTAACCAGCCCTGGGTCACTGACCAGTGGGCCCCACTGGTTAGGTTTGACCTGGACCGGTCAGTTGACCTGCTGACGTCAAGCTGACGCAGTAAGTCATTTTCTGGATTAAATTCAATTTAGGAAATTCCAGAAAATGCCCAAAACTTCTAAAATTCATAGAAATTCAACCATAACTCCAAACGAAACAAATTATATATGAAAAATGATCAGAAAAATCCAATCTATCCATCTGTACCTTTTTCATGCATGTTAGAACAACTTATGACTACTGTTTAGGACAAATGAAATGAATGACATTTGAATATCCACATATGGAGTTTGAATTTGAATATTGGATTCAAACCAACTCCATTTAATCTGTTGCTAGCTGCATTAGCTCAAATCACAGCATATTGACATGTCATGATCATGCATCATATTGTGCATTGCATTGATTGTGTTCTTCCTTGTTTGCCGGTATTTGTCCCCTCTCAGTAGACGATGTTCCAACGATGAGTTCGATGACACCGATGAAGAACTATATTATCTTCAGAAGTGCCGGGCAAGCAAAACCCCCTTGTTCATTCCGATACAATCCCACTCTCTCGCTCCTGCTCTCTTTTACTGCATTAGGACAACAACGATACAACGGTTACATGTTGCGGTAGTTGAACCCCTTTTCCTCTGCATGACCTGTCATTGCCACAGTAAATAGATGAAACCCACTAGTATGAGTAGGAGTTGTTTGAGCCCTAATGTGCCTACTCATTCATGTCTGCTTGTCATGCCTACTACTACTTAGAGTTGTGTCAAGTCTGATTCATCGGGGATGAATTGGAATGTTGTGAACATGTCCTACTGTGTGTGATCTAAGTGTATGAACACGATTTGGTAAAGGTAGCGGTGAGAGGCCATGTAGGAGTACATGGTAGGTTGTCTCATTAAAGCCATCTTTAGGAACTGAGTTATGTGTTTGTGATCCATGAAACAACTACTATCATGCATTGGGCCCTGAAATATGACCCCGCTCGACTTCTTAACCACCCTAGTCCTCTGTCCAAGAGTTGCAAGTAGTTTCTAGTGTTTGTAGTATGTTGGAGGTCATGCGCAGCACTGACCCGAGGGGTGGGCTGTGATGCGGTAGGCATGTGGCACGGTGTACCGGGTGCCCGTTTGATGTCTCGGGAACCCTGCACACATCGTTCGGGGCCGTATGTGGAAACTTTGGCCGAACTCCCTGCGGATGGAACCTGAATAGGCGATAAACCTGGACTAGGGACTTGAGTGTATAGGTAGGTCGTGGTCTACACCCATGTCGGCTTTCGCTTGAAGTCTGACGAGCACATGTCGTGTGCAGACGCTAAGTGGTGGAAACATGTATGAAGAAGTACACCCCTGCAGGGTTAACCTCATCTATTCGAATAGCCGCGTCCGCGATAAAGGACATGTCGATGCAGTTGCTACTGTAGGATCAAAACCTCTCCTTGGATTTGGCTTCAGTATTACTATTTTGTTAACTGGCTGAGAAGACCTTCCCTCTGGTGCACGACCGACCCACCCACGGCCCAATCATAAGTTAAGTTGGGTTCCTGTACTAAACTGGATTAAATTAGCCTTTCCCTTATATAAGTTTAAAAAAAATAGCCTTTCCCCTTTATTTTAAGCCTATGCTAGCCGCCGGTCAACTGGCCCAAAATTTCGGCCGGCTACACGCGAGCCGTTCGGACCGATGCCATGTGCTACGTTCCCCTTTCTTCCCGAACACACATCGAACCCCTGCACGCTGTAGGAGAGATCGCGGCCCAGCCTGCTGGATCCCCGCGTCGCTGCCCCCGCCTTCCATCTCCAACGACACCCCCTCCCAGTCCTGCAACACCCGCTGTCATTGGGCGTGCTTGGCCATGGATACTTGCAGCTCCTGCTGTGAATGGCTACAGACGTGACGACACTGACATGGAGCCTCGACCAATGGCGGTTGCAATTCCGCCCCATGGTTGTAGCATCAGCTACGCCGCCGCCGTTGATGCTCGCCACACATGTGCATGTTGCCGCACCACCGTCATCTCTCTTAGGTCACCCATTTCCGCTTGTCGCCGTTGTAGCAAAACAACTCATCAGTTGTACCTTCCCAACTTACCAGTTGCAACAAAAATTGCGCCGCCCGTAGCCCAAGTGTACCGCTACCAATGATGTAGCAAAAAAATTCTGCCAGTCCCAGCTTCCATCGTTACTGGTTCCATCAATTCTTCTTGCTTGTTGCAGCTTTTGTCCCTGCCAGTCCCAGCTTCTGCTGTTACTAGTTCCATCATTTCTTCTTGCTTGTTGCAGCTTTTGCCCCTGCCAGTGATGTGCTCGATTCTAGCAAAAATGTAGCCAGTTCCAACAACAACAATTATAGCAAGGCTACGACACATAAGTATTCTCTGTTTTTAATCGGTTTACTCTAGCCATTTTTTTGGCCGATTTCCTATTAACATTTTCTTTCAAAAAAATTTAGGAATTTCAAAATGCCCGTGAATCAAAAACCAGTTTTTCTTTGAAAGAACATTCAAAATTTTAAAATATGTTCCCGGTTTTTTAAAAAATATTATCGATTTAAACAAATTTTCATGAATTTTTAAAAAATTCTCTGTTTTTTAAATCCCGTATTTCAAGGATTTCACGAATTACAAATATTACACAAACTTCAAAATGGAAAAAAAATAAAAATAAAGAAATAGAAAAACAAACCCATAAAAATAACAAAAAGAAAAATAATAAAAAAAGTGATCCAAAACTGACGGAACACAAAACACAGTAAAGTGTTGGCCTATGATAGGAGGATGAGGGCAGAAAGTATCTTGACCTATCAAAAAATGGAGGGCGGAGATCAGCCGTGAGTTCATGAAAATACAATGGTGATTTTTTAAAAAAATCAAATTATAATTTTTATGATTAAAAAATCATTCAATTTGTGTTTTGGCACCCCAGAAATTTCAGTTTTGTTAGTAAAAAGAAACCCGGCTCGACTTATGCAGATGTTTGATTTTGAGACAAACTTATCGAAATCACTAGTTAAGGAGTACTCTTTGTGGAGATCACTCCAACTTCCCCAGGTTGCGACAAGTGGCGCGCTGCATGTGCGCCACTTGTCGCAACCTGGGAGTTTTCCCTTTTTTCGTAGATTCGTTTATTCAAAACGTGTTATCTTTTAAACCGTGCGTCCATGCTTTCGCAGTTGGATTCCTCGCGTCGAGATCTTCAAAACTAGATCCCATGTTGATAGGTTTTTTTTTCATGAAAAAAACGGATGAAAAAAACCGAACCGGGAACACGGGTTTTTTTCCCTTTCCGAAAGAGGCACGCCCGTGCCTATGATGAAATCACAACCGTACCTCTCGTGAAATAAAAAAAACAAAAAACACATTTTTTTTCCCTTTCCGAAAGAGGCACGCCCGTGCCTCTCGCGAAAGAAGAAAAAACAGAAAACACGTTTTTCCCCTTTAAGAAAGAGGCACGCCCGTGCCTCTCGCGAAAGCACAACCGTGCCTCTCACGAAAAAAATAAATAGAAAATACGGTTTTTTTTCGTTTTCAAGAGGCACGGTCGTGCCTCTCGCAAAAAAAATTGCGTTTTTTTGCGCAGAAAAATAATTTTTTTCAAAAAAAAATTGGTCGAAAAGCTAGGGAAGACCGGTAGAAAACCAAAACGTCAAAAAAACCGTTTAAAAAGCCGAAAACGCGTGCGGAAAAATAAAAAAAAATCCGAAGGGAGCGCCTAGAGCGCGACACGTGGCAAATGGCTGAGAGCGCGCCAAAGTGGCGCTGATCGTTGCGAGGCTCCCGAAGGAGTGCTCGTTAATTAGTTGCTCCCCAAACTTATGCCGAATAAATACCATGCTCTCTATTTTTTGTTGGGCTTTGCAGCTGGTGGACTGGAGCCCAGTAGCAAACGTGGAGAGAGAGCTCTAGCTCTAGGCACAACTCTTTGGCCCCAACAGTGTCATACAGATCAAAGACATGGAACCAAAGGTGTTGGCCGCTCTGCTTAGCTTCGTCTACATAGACTCGTTCCCTGACATGTACGAGGACAACATTAAGTTGAGTGAACTGTGCAAAGATACGGGGGGAACAAGGACAAGAAGATGAAATGTCGTCGGAAGCTGTGGGCCAAGGACAAGACGCGGAAGAGGCAGAGGATGAAATGGGGCTGCTGCAATGGCTGCAGGGCTTGTTTGTAGCGGCTTAAGTTCATCTGTGTAAAGCACTTGTCTCAGTGCATGGGTGTGAGCTCTTGCTCTAGCCGAGCAGCACCACTGTCGCGGGTTGAAGGAGGCATCTTTATCCAAGTCCAATAATCATCCCCATGTTTGCAAACACTAATCTCTACTTCTAATCTCTATTTCTAATGGAGCAGTTGGTAGGATTGCGTCCACGGTTTATTTTCGTCTGGTTATATTTCGTCTGGTTTATTTTCGTCCGGTTTATTTTCGTCTCATATCCCACCACCATATCTCCTCACATTGATTTTTTTACCCTCACAATAAAAACTTTCCTAACTTTTCCAAAGTTTTCTAACTAGACACGTTATAAACGGGCATGTACCGATAGCACGTTATCTCTACTTCTAATGGAGCAGTTGGTAGGATTGCGTCCACGGTTTATTTTCGTCTGGTTATATTTCGTCTGGTTTATTTTCGTCCGGTTTATTTTCATCTCATATCCCACCACCATATCTCCTCACATTGATTTTTTTACCCTCACAATAAAAACTTTCCTAACTTTCCAAAGTTTCCTAACTAGACACGTTATAAACGGGCATGTACCGATAGCACGTTATCAATTAATAAAATTTTGTTTTATGACAATCAATTTCAAATCCTAATTTTCCTAATGCATCGATCTTTGCCTTTTTTAAATAGTTATTTTGATAGGGAGGGTTTAGCCAAGAAAATTTTATTAATTGATAACGTGCTATCGGTACATGCCCGTTTATAACGTGTCTAGTTAGGAAACTTTGGAAAAGTTAGGAAAGTTTTTATTGTGAGGGTAAAAAAATCAATGTGAAGAGATATGGTGGTGGGATATGAGACGAAAATAAACCGGACGAAAATAAACCAGACGAAATATAACCAGACGAAAATAAACCGTGGACGCAATCCTACCAACTGCTCCATTAGAAATAGAGATTAGAAGTAGAGATTAGTGTTTGCAAACATGGGGATGATTATTGGACTTGGATAAAGATGCCTCCTTCAACCCGCGACAGTGGTGCTGCTCGGCTAGAGCAAGAGCTCACACCCATGCATCGATCTTTGCCTTTTTTAAGTAGTTATTTTGATAGGGAGGGTTTAGCCACGAAAATCATCCCTCCATCGTCGGCTGCATCCCTCACCCACGTCGCTGTTGCAGGATCTTCATCCGTCATCCTGAGCAATTGGGGCGGCGATGCGGGTGAGCTTCACGATAGTGGGGAGGACCAGGCCGCGGTGAAGGCAGGTCATGCGCTCCTCATGCTCCACGAACGGAACCTGCGCACGGAGGCGGTAGCGCGGGGTGGCAGCCGGCAATGAGGCGGCCGCGCTACGTGACGAGCTACGGGTCCCCCTTTGTGATGTTTTGGCATCGCTCCTTCATCGCACATCCTCAGGTTCCTCTTGCCCTTCCCTTCCTTTGTCCTCCTCTCCCATCTCTATGCTTTCACGTGCATCCAGTTTTGATTCCTCGTGTGATATATACCAAACATAGGTACGTCAATTCACTTCCTTCCCTTCCCTTCGTCCCTCGGTCCCACGCTCGTGGCGCTGAAGTGGTGGCAACAGGCGATGGCGGTGGTGTCGCTGATGGCGGCGAGGACAGCATGTGGCAGCTCCCGAAGCATGAACACGACCGCACCTCGGGCCTGCCGTCTGCCAAGATATGGGTGAGTTCTCGTGCTGCCAACCATAAACCCTCATGTCCTACAAATTCCTCAAACCCTACCGTCTTGATCCCGTCCACGCTCTGATCCAAAGGACGATGCAGCTCTGGCCGATTGACAATGGAGGTTTGGGATCCTTCCTCTCAGCACCCACTCCTGGAAGAATCAGCGGTGCGCCACGCCGATTGAACCCCGTCGAGATCACTCGCCAAGATTGCTATTCTGAAGTTTATTGTAAAGAAAGTGAAGAGTGAGACAGGATCCGTTTATTTTCAACCGGTTTATTTCCATCAAATTACCCCCACCCCCACGCCCACCCACCGAAACGCGCCCAGCGAACCGGGGAGAGATCCATTGATTTGGCTAAGGTAGGAAAGAATCTATTATTTGTTTGCTAAAGCAAATTGCATTAATGGGAGAGATCCATTGATTTGGCTAAGGTAGGAAAGAATCTATTATTTGTTTGCTAAAGCAAATTGCATTAATGAAAGAGATCCGTTGATTTGGCTAAGATAGGAAAGAATCTATTATTTGTTTTCTAAAAAAAATTGCATTAATGAGAGAGATTTGTTGATTTGGCTAAGATAGGCGGTTTTGAGTAAAGTTATCTTTACTATAGACATATAATGACAATTAATCAAGTATCAACATCATTGCATGCTTATTGTGTGGAATGTGTGTCCCAATGTTGACAGAAGGTATAAAAAGATTGTCTTGGAATTATTATTGTCTTGGGAAGATATTGTCCTGAATTCTCATTTCTCATCAGAAATTTAGTATCCATTTTCGTTGATCTTATTTGCAATATGTACAAGTCAGTAATAATCTAAGGGGGTGCCCTACCGGAGAAGATTATGATAGTTGGACAAGAAACTTGGTACTGTCGTGTAAGGTAAAGGTAGGAGAAATAGGAGATAAAAGCATGCATGGTGGGAGAAGGAAGTCGAATGTCGCGTGGTAGCTCAGACATGGAGTGTGGAAGAAAGACAATGACGAGATGTATGTATCTACTAGATCATGACCATGAGATATCATCCCATAGAAATGACCTTTGACTCTCATGTCACATGAATTTTCTCTTTGTATATATATATTTGTTAATCCGTGGCAACGTACGGACACTTAGCTAGTGGCGAGTAATGGCTGGGGGCATATTGTCACGACCTATATATATATCCCTCTGTTTTGAATGAGCTCATTGGTCATTGCCATGCTTGCTTCGAACCAGAGGAAGTAACACTCTGGATACATACGGTACGCATCTTCCTTAATTGTACCTGAAGTGACATTCTTTTGCTTATACAAGTACCTCTACAGAGATTGTATATAGATATAGATACATACGTCTTTTTATATTGATATAGATACCACTTTTTTAATCAAAATGGGCGACGAATGACAAAGTTCCTTCTCTAATTAGTTGTACTTCAGTACAACTTAAAGGATCCGTTTTTGTATCATTGATTAGATTTTGGCATATATATAAACGTACCTTCATACTATCATATATATACAACTTGTACAAGAACAAGATTGAATTTCATATTTGGCACGATTTGGCACGATGATGGGCTGCCCCTGCGCCGGCGCCGGCGGGGGCGGGTTGCCACGGCTGCGAGGCCACGTGGTCGATGGCCCGGGTGACGTCCGACATGGTGGGCCGGAGGTTGGGCCTGTCGTGGAGGCAGACCGAGGCGACGATGGCCAGCTGGTAGAGCGCGCGCCGAGGGAATCGCCCGCGCAGCGCCGGGTCGGCCAGCCGGCCGTACATCTTGCGCACGTCGGCGAGGTACGGCCTGGCCCAGTCCAGGAGCCGCCTCTCGTCGCCGGCGCCGGCGTCGGCGTCGAAGGCCCTGCGCCCCGTGATGAGCTCCAGGAGCACCACGCCGAAGCTGTAGACGTCCGACTTGACGGTGAGGCGGCCGGTGAGCGCGTAGTCGGGCGCGCAGTAGCCCAAGGTGCCCATCACGCGCGTGGACACGTGGGTGTCGTCGCCGGAGGGCCCCATCCGGGCCAGCCCCAGGTCGGACAGCTTGGCGCTGAAGTCCTCCGCCAGGAGGATGTTGGACGGCTTCAGGTCGCGGTAGATCACCGGCGGCGACACCGCCTCGTGCAGGTACCGCAGCGCCCTCGCCGCGCCGTGCGCGATCCTCACCCGCGTGTTCCACTCCAGCGCCGGCCGGTCACCATCGCCGGAGGGCGGGAGGAAGAGGTGGGCGTCGAGGCTGCCGCGGGGGAGGAGCTCGTAGACGAGCAGCCGCTCCTGGGCCTGCGCGCAGTAGCCGACCAGGGACACCAGGTTGGGGTGCCGCAGCGTCATCAGCATCGCGCACTCCACCACGAACTCGCGGCTCCCCTGCGCGCCGCCGCGGCACAGCTGCTTCACGGCCACCGCCGTCATTGCGCCGCCGGCATCGTCGTCGTCGCCGTCCAGGCGGAGGTGGCACCTGTACACCCTGCCGAAGCCGCCCTGGCCCAGCAGGTTGGACGCGGAGAAGCCGTCCGTGGCCGCGGACAGCTGCTCCAGCGTGAACTTGCGCGCGGCGCGGCCGGCCACGCTGCCGCTGCCGTCGCCGCGGCGGCGCAGGCTCATGGAGGTCTCCGCGGCTTGGCTGGAGGGGCTGGACGGGCCGGCCGCATCGCCGGTGCAGGGGACGCAGGGGAGGCTCGGTAGGCGGTGGCCGGCCCAGGAGAAGAGGCGCGGCATGGCGAGGCGCCGAGAGAGCTAGCCGTGCCGTGCGTCTCCAATGGCGGAGGAGAGCGAGCCCGAGGCTGCCCGGCTAAAAAACGGGAGGCTGACACACGGCCGCCAATATTTGAGCTCCAATTAACCACGTTTTGGTTGTCAACTCTTTAACCTCGATTGTGTTAAATTCAGTCAAATTTTAACAAATCTTGTTGAACTCGTTGAAATGTTTTCATATTATATGCCAAGATATATGCGGCTAGTTGTATCATACCGCTCTTAATTGATTCAGGTTGGATTTAACGTTGCCACATCATTGTGACATGTGGATCCCCACTAAAGTATAAAATGTAATGTCTTTATTTTAATAGAGTAAAAAACTATCACATGATCACAACCAAGGGGTACAAACATGCTACTCCCTTTGATTCATATTAATTGACGCTGCATTAGTACAAAGTGAGTACAACTTTGTACTTTGCACTAAACCAACATCAATTAACATGGATTAGAAGGAGTAATATAATTTTAAAATATGGTAAAAACCATCCAATGAACACAACTAAAGGATAAAAAACCTCGTGCCTTTTGCTAGATGGGCTCTAGGTAGCCCCCTCCTTTTTTTCTCACAAAACTCATTTTCATGTGGCAAAATATTTTGAAAAAAGTGTGCATATACAAATACATGTGTACTATGCATAATTTCGAAATAATATATTTCATATTGTCAAAATGGTTTTCTGTTTATTTTTTGGACATAAATTTGATTATGTTTTGTACCTTACAGATTACCATACTATTTAATGAACATTTATGGATATGTGGTGAACTCGTGTAAGTTTTCACAGAATAATTTGATTTCCTTTTAAGTTTAAAATGTGTTTTTTGAGTTTTTCAAAATACCAGGCTTCTTGGAGTCTGGGAGCCAAACTTAAAATTGCAGTATGCTCAGTTACCTCAACGAAAAGAAGAGAGGATTAACTATTACAAGTGTAGCAAAACATCTCATGCATGGGTGAAAAATTAACATTTTTGCTAATTTTTCGTCAAGTGATTCTCTATTAGCGTCCTATCGATTTTTCATTCGTTTGAACGGGGGTTGGCGTGATTCTCGGCACGTGCTCGACTTGGCATTCTGGTTATGCCCGTCGGCTCATTGGACATGAGGTTTTTCTTGCAAAAGCCGACCCGATTTGAGTGGTCGGATCGGCGGTCGTCGTGGGACGACACGGAGCTGATGTTTCCCCTTTTCCCCGCTCAATTATTTTTCTTGGGTTTGTTTTGGATTTTTAACATGCGTGGAGGCAGATTGTCTGCAGCTACCCCTCCGCTCCCCCTCTCTCCTCCTGCATGCCTAGCCAAAAGAAAACATCCTCTTATGATTGTTCATTTGATTCCCCCTATAGATATATGCACTGCGCCCACGTGATGATTTAGTTCCGCCTCCCACCATGCAGAGGATTGCAGGTGGTCCTTTTTGTTCGTGTCATCATTGATTTGCTAACTAGGTCTCTCCAGTCATTAGTCAATTTATACTCCCTCAGTGTTTTCCTTTTTCATTAATCTTCACTTTCTTCTTTTCTGTTGTGCTATTATACTTTAGTTTTCATAGTTTCTCTTTGTTCACTCTTCAGCCAAAGTTATGTTTTACATGTTTTTGATGTATTTGTTTCTTCATTGTTCTCATTTTCAACCTTTCTTTTTCCTCACTGTTCATTCCTTGGTTTTCATTTTAAATTGATTCGTGTTGCTATTAATTATTTTTTTGTTTCCATATCTTCATAATCAACAAAGAGTGGAAAATAGCCTTCACCTAATTTGCCTTGTCATTCGACATTTATCTATTAATGTCTTTGATGGCGCCATACACCAGGGGTGCTCACCGTAGGGTGCCCGGTGGGGGCCTGTCTATAGGCCCATGAGGCCCATCACATATCCAACAATAGGAGGGAGCCCAGAGTAAGGGGGGCGACTTCCCTTGACCATCTTAATTACTAAGTTGGTGGCGCCGGCGACCTAGCTAGATCAAATCTCCCCTTGTAAAACCCCAACCTCCACCATGTATATAAGGGGAGGCTAGGGGGCTCTCAGTTCCATCTACTACTACATCTCTCTGTAGTCCCTTGCTCCAAGTATGCCCACCATGAATGGCAAACACAAGCAAGATGTAGGGTATTACTCCACCATGGAGGCTCGAACCTGGGTAAATTACGTGTGCGACCTCCATCTGTGACTTCCAGCTACGCTACGTACCCTATCGAGGGACCTGACAGTTTTCTGCATCATCAATCTTCTTTGTCATCCAAAGTTGGTTTTATGTGCATTTTTGTTGTCAGCCAATTACTGGTTTTGGTTAATAATTAGTCCATGTTTTGCATCAGGCCACTGCGAATGAAGGCATGGGTACAACATTTTTTTGCGCTGTTTAATCAGAGCTGAAATAGGGTGGTTCTCCGTGATAAATTTTTTTTCATGATGCCCTTCTACTTCCTTATTTCTCAGTTTATGTCCATGAAGCATTATTGATGTAGGAGTAGGACCAAGTCCTGGATGTTGCCTAATCTTCACAAAAGGAACACAAGAGGAAACACAAAAGAACAAGGTTCACCACACAAGTTTACTCATATCACACATAAGGAGAGATACACCTCAAGATCCAATATCAGGTTAGTTATTTTTTTGTTCTGTTCATTTTCATCAAAAAGGTATAAAACTGTACTTTTGGGTTTTGCAAGTTATTGGGCCCGCGTGCAGGTAGTTTTCAGATTGGGTAGCACTTTGGGTCGATTGACGCGAGGGCATGGATTAGTCACTTTCCGCACCATATGATTACATGTCATAATCGTTGGATCGTGCCCCTTACATCATCCCTTCATTATCATTCTCCCTGCACACACAACTCCACGCACGAGGCATGAGTCGGCTGGCGAATTCTTATGTAGCACATGATTTCAGTGCATCTCAAATATGATGAATCTGACCAATACTTCTCAGCAGGCATCTATAGGGAAGTGTTTCCCACAACATAATCGGGATAGACCTCTTAACTCACTAGTGGACGTGGGTTGATTGGATCAGCATACACTTCACTAGATCCATAATGTAATATTGAAGCAAAGAACAAATATTGGACGTGGGTTTTTGTTTGTTTCTTTTGGTTTTCATTCTACATTTTTCGTATACGTCAAGAGCATTTTCCTAATACACGTCTATTTTTTTTTCATATACAAGTTTGACATTTTCTAATACATGGTCAATTTTTTTCTATACACATTATCAAGATTTTTCAAATACAAGATTAACATTTTTTGAATATATTGGTAAATATTTTCCTTAAACATATTTTAAATGCTTGATTAAAATTTATTTAAATACATGATCAACATTTTTATATACATATTTAACAATTTTCAAATGCATGATTATTATTTTTGAAATGCAAGCTTAACTTTTTTAAATACATGGTCAACATTTTTCCATATAAATTTAACAATTTTCAAATTCTTGCTTAAAAAATTTCAAATACAAGTTTAACATTATTTTAATACAGTACCGGATTAAATTTCGTTGAATACATGGTCAACATTTTTTCTGGACACATTAACATTTTTTTAAATGCTTGATTAACATTTTTTTAAATGTTTTCAAATGGTCGACGAGGAGAATGTGGCCGGAAACTGTCGGTGTGTGTCTCGATGAGGAAGTTCCACTGTACACAGCTTTCATTGACCATGCTGATGACAACATTGAGGGTGTGCTGCTAGCGGACGTCGGCGACGACGACAACGCCGAGAGTGTGCTGCCGGCGGATTCTACCGGTGATGACCACGCCGAGTTGAGTTTGGGGGAAGAACACGACGAGGGCATGATGTCACTGGGTCCCATGCTCGCAACCACGATGAGTTGTGGAATGGGGGAAGACCACGCCGGGCGGCCAGGTTCTTCAGACAATGAACCAGAGGATCACAATTTCGGAGCATACAAATCACCTCTATGGCTCTATCTCTGACATGGACCGTGTCATCAACAAACCGACAAAATTACATTACAGTTTCAATTACGCGATTCAGGGTTGTGACATGTGTGATATCGCACAAGTGTTCATGAAAGTAAAGGAGATAGGTCATTCCTTTGAGGTCCGAAACAGAAAAAAGAAAGTGGGCACCTGCCCCGCTCATGGACCGGCCCAATAGGGCGTGCGGGAGGGGAGCGGGGGTGCGCGCAGGCTTTGTTCGCCACACGCTGGAGGACTCCTTCCGGGACAGCAACTAATTAACGAGTGCTCATTCGGGAGCCTCACAACGATCAGTGCCACTTGACGCGCTCTCAGCTATTCGCCACGTGTCGCGTTCTAGGCGCTCCCTTCGGATTTTATTTTTTATTTTATTTTTTCGCACGCGTTTTCGGCTTTTTGAATGTTTTTTTCCGGGGGTTTTCGGCGTTTTGGTTTTCCACCGGTCTTCCCTAGTTTTTTGACAAAAAAAATTTGAAAAAAAAAATGCGGATAAAACGCGTTTTTTTCTTTCGCGAGAGTCACGGTTTTGCTTCCGTGAGAGGCACGGTTTTGCTTTCGCGAGAGTCACGGCCGTGCCTCTCAGAAACGGAAAAAAATACGTTTTTTGTTTTTTTCCTTTCGCGAGAGTCACGGTTTTGCTTCCGCGTGCTTTCGTGAGAGTCACGGTCGTGCCTCTCGGAAACGGAAAAAGACACGTTTTTTTTCTTTTGCGAGAGTCACGGGTTTGCTTTCGCGAGGGTCATGGCCGTGCCTCCTCGGAAACGAAAAAAAATGTGTTTTCTGTTTTTTTTCTTTCACGAGAGTCACAGTTTTGCTTCCGCGAGAGGCACGGTTATGCTTTCACGAGAGTAACGGCCGTGCCTCCTCGGAAAAGAAAAAAAACTCATTTTTTGTTTTTTTCTTTCGCGAGAGTCACGATTTTGCTTCCGCGAAAGGCACGGTTGTGCTTTCGCGAGAGTAACGGCCGTGCCTCCTCCGAAACGAAAAAAATGCGTTTTTTGTTTTTTTTTCTTTCGCGAGAGTCATGGTTTTGCTTCCGCGAGAGGCACGGTTGTGCTTTCGCGAGAGTCACGGCCGTGCCTCCTCGAAAACGAAAAAAAAACGTCTTTTCTCTTTTTTCCTTCCGTGAGAGGCACGGTTATGATTTCGTCAGAGGCACGGACGTGCCTCTTTCGAAAAGGGAAAAAACCTGTGCTCCTAGTTCGGTTTTTTCATCTGGTTTTTTTGTGAAAAAAAGTTCATCAAAATCTATCAACATTGGATCTAGTTTTGAAGATCTCGACGCGAGGAATCCAACGGCGAAAGCGGTTCGAGATTTGGATGCACGGTTTAAGAGATAAAACGTTTTGAATAAAGTAATCTACGAAAAAAGGAAAAACTCACAGGTTGCGACAAGTGGCGCACATACAGCGCGCCACTTGTCGCAACTTAAGAAGTTGGAGCGATCTTCGCAACGAGTACTCCTTAACTAGTGATTTCGTCCTTCCGATGCCCCATCGCTATCTTGTTTTGGATTTGTTTTCGTCAGTGGCTTGGCGTGTCTTGGGCTCCGAACTCCATGCTAGAGCTCCGGCCTCTTGTCCTTTCTCTGGTTAGGCAAACCAAAAGGCTTTTCTGGTTTGGGTTTCCCATTATGTGCTGAATCGTGTGGACTACTAGAAACAAGTTTACCATTCCTAACAAACCGATTGATTGCATTTTTCATCTATATTTGTTTTTGCAGCAGGGAAAATTATTGATTAAGGAGAGCGACAAGGATGTTGTGGAGCCACTGATTGCGTGCGTGCGAGAGAGGGCAACTTCGTGCCTGAATGCGGATCGGCCACGTCACCAATAGATGGGGATCTATCGTCACCTCCTTAGCCTCTTTTGTTGTTCTTCTGTCGGCTCTTTTTCCTGTGCTGGCTGATTCTACTTCTCTGTACTTGGGCCTCTGGTATTGGCAAAATTTCGTGTTTTGACCCTTTTGGCTAACAAATTTAGGATCTAACCCCCCTCTGGAAAAAGTTCGGGATCTGACCGTCAGATCCCGAACTTTTTCCAGAGGGGGGTTAGATCCTAAATTTGTTAGCCAAAAGGGTCAAAACACGAAATTTTGCCTCTGTTAGTCTTGGATGTTTGAACTTGGATGTATGCTACTTGTTGGCTGCGTGTTGGCTTTATTACTTTAAAGTCGGGCCTTCGGCCTTTTATCTAAAAACAGCTTTATGGAGATGTGTGTTTTGATCGGTTTCGAGCGAGCAACCATATCTTTTGGAAAAGGAGGCTGAATCCTCGGCATTTTCATCTTTGCGATGCACATAACCATTTTTATAAATTATTATTATTAAGCAAAGTATAGAGCAAAGGCAACTTCGACCAAACCATTACAAGGTATAAAATTAACACGGATGAAAGTCAGACTTCTTCCGCGGCAATGCCTTCAAAAAGAAATAAACATCCTTGTCACCAACCAATTTAATTAGCTTTTCTATAGTTGCTTTCTGGAGTAGTAGCTGGCAGTGCACAAATATTTTTCTGGAGTAGCTGGTACGTAGTTGATATAAACTAATGGCCAATAATTGAGCGTCTTAATTTTGAACTAGTCTATGCTTTGTTTTCTGCAGCTTGGTTGTTGACTATTCTCTCCCTCACTTCCAAGGGATCCCTTCCCAATCACAATCTTCCACAGCTCCCACAACCATTTTCCTCCTTTGCCACAGCTCTCCTCTTCTGGTTCTTCTTCTGCATCCTGATTTCGTTTCCATTCATTTCTGCCCTTTTCTGAAAACAGAAAGAAAAGGTTCGGTAATCTTTGAAGCTTCTATGCATAGGTTTTATTTCTGAATCAAGAGAGAAACAAACTCAAAAAAACAGTCTTTCCGCATTCTACTTCTGTTTACCAATTTTCCTGCCATTCTTGCCAAGATTTCAAAATAAACAAAACTTTTTTGCGCGTTCTTGTAGGTTATAGAGTAAAGGACATTGTTTTTGCTACTCTTTGCTTTCACAACTTTATTTCCGATTGAACGTGAATCACCCTTGTCTTGCTTGTTCTATTTGAATACACAAACAGAACTCAAAGAAGAATTTCTCGTGCTCCTGTTTTCATTTGTGTCCTCTTCTCTTTCTGTGTCAAAACCTTATACTTCTTCTGAAACAAGTTCCGGAGAAGGGCTCTTCCACGATAAAAGAAGAGACACAGTAAGCACTTTCTTGCAACTTTATCTGTTATAACTTTATCTTTTATCTATTCAAACCTCTTAACAAACGAACATATTTTTCCAGAACTCCAATCCGCTATAGCTCAAGTTATAGTACATCATCCATATAGAGCGTGATATATATTCTACTTCGTCTTATGCTAGCAGATAATTCTCCCTTTGATGAATTTCTTAGTCTCTTGATACTCAATATGCTTCTGCCCAAAAACTGATAAAAACTTGTCCGCTACTGTTGAAAAAACTATTGTTACCAAGTAATTCAGTAATGCTCCCTTGTTAACTCCTTAATTATTTTGTTGATATGAACAGTTATTTCAAGTTTTTAGGCTCTACTGGTTAACTCCTGTTAGAACAAGATTTTGGTATGTTTGTCAGTTCCTAGAAAAGTTCTTTAAACCGAATGGCCCAAATACTTTAATCAGTCGCTAGAAAAGTTCTTCACAGGGATCTGTTAGCATGTACAATTACAGAAGATAGATTTGGACGCATCCAGTGTTCTTACAAGTAGTATAACAATATAAACTCGCACAAGTTCAAAGAGAATCACACAAGATATCCCATCGTCATCTAACATCGGTGTCCAATCTGAATGCGGAAACAAAACTCAAACATGATCTTCTCGTGGCCCTGTTTTCATTTGTGTGATTAGTTCTCCTGGAAGAACACATATATACTAAGATTGTTTTTTTTTACCTGCAATTATTATACAAGAGACACAGTAAGCACTTTCTTGCGATTTTATCTGTTATTACAACAAGTGTTATCTCCACAATCGAACATATTTCCACAACTCCTTTCTGATGCAGTCATATACTCCCTCCGTCCGGAATTACTGGATGCAGTAATTCCAGACGGAGGGAGTATATAATATGCCTTCCATATAGAAAAGTTCTTCATAGGGATCTGTTAGCATATACAATCACGCAAGACATATTGGGTTACAAGTAGTATAACAGTGTAAACTTGCACAAGTTCAAACATAATCACACAAGATTTATGAGTATTCAACATCTCAAAGCTTGCGCTTCATCTACCATCGCATGCAGTCTATGCTTTTCATAAACTTAATTGATTGGTGTTTTATTCTTGCCATATACATCACTGAGACACAACAATTGTCTGTCTTGCAGTACTGATTCTTCGAACAGGTGCCAAAAATGCCAATTGAGGCGCCGGCGCTGGGTCCTTTGCTCGGAAATACCGTCAACACGGTCATAAGTCCATTCTATACGCTCTTCTCCACAAATGCCATGTATTGCTTCACCGCTCGCACAAACGTGACAAAACATAGGACTGAAACTGAGACATTGAGTGGCAACTTGCTTCGTGTCAAACAGGGAATTGTAGATGGCGAGATGAATGGCTTGATACCGACGGAAGAAGCAAATGAGTGGGTGCAAAGGGCGGAGCAAGCCATATGTGAAGAAGCGGCAAACCGCGAGTCTTTTTTTGATCAGAGGTGCAGAATCTTTGGGTGCTCCCTGAACATGAATTGCTGGGGAAACTATAAAACCAGCAAGAAAGCAGCTGAAAAGGTGGATGCTGTGAAACAATATATCAGTAGCACACCGCTGCCAGATAATGTCACACGCACACCACCTCCACCTCCTGTCGTAGATTTGTCCACCCACTCTGCTCAGCTTCTGCCAAGCAGAGAGCCTACTCTCAGGAGTGCTCTCATGTGCATTAAGGAGGAGGATGCGGTGGGAGTGATTGGAATATGGGGTCCACGTGGAGTTGGGAAAACACATCTTCTCACAAAGATAAACAATTCATTTCTTGAACATTGTCCCTTTGATATGGTTATCCTTATTAAGGCCTCGAGTGAATGCACGGTGCAAAAGGTTCAAGCTCAGATCATAAACAGGTTCGGTATAAACCAGAATATTAATGTGACAGCTCAAATACATGAACTGCTCAAGAAACGAAGTTTTCTGGTGTTGGTAGATGACCTTTGTGAGAAGCTAGACCTTTCAGCTGTTGGCATTCCACATCCTCTTGGAGTTGTGGACCAAAAGAAGAGGAAGGTGCTAATCATTTCACGATCACAATCCATATGTGATCTGATGGGTGTGGATAAATATATGCAAGTGCTTGGTTTGGAGGAAGAGGAGGCACACCAACTATTTGAACAAAGTTTTGGTGAGGAGAATCTTTATACTGATCCCCATGTCGGGGTACTTGTTAAGGATCTCGTAAGAGAACTAATTGGCCGACCATCAGAGCTGATACATTTCGGGAAGATGATGCGAAGAAGCAGAAATGCAAGGCAGTGGGAAGATGTCATTGATGCAGTAAAGAGATCAAACCTTCGAAATGATAACCCATTATGTATGGTAAGCACTTGCATCGACACTTAAATTTCTAAATAGTAGTATTAATGCCATTACTGAGTACTAATACATGAATGCTATTTTCAAACCTGAAGGCGGAAAGAATTGAGGGAAGTCTCGAGGATTCCACCAAAGACTTGATCGCGAAAAAAAATGATGTATGTCAGAAGATTAAGAATGCTGAGCGAGAAGGCAAGAAATCAACAAATGAGGTCGACAGATGGCTGGAAAAAGTGGCCAGAATCATTGATGTTGTGCATGTAATCTCTGTGGACTATAAGCTTAAGAAGGATGTTACCATGGAGGCATCTGAGAAGCTTCGTGAGGTTCAAGAGTGTCTCAGTATTTGTCCCAGTACTGTTGCAATTGAGTCAATGCCACCTCCTGTCCAAGAGATGCCTGGTCCATCTATGTCAGCCGAGAACCGTAACCTCCAAGATGCTCTCCAGTGCATTAAGGATGATCCCAAAGTGGGAATGATTGGAATTTGGGGTCCAGGTGGAGTGGGGAAAACACATCTTCTCAACAATATTAATAACTCATTTGGAGATGGTATGAACTTTGATTTTGTTGTCTTTGTAACTGCCTCCAGAGAGTGCTCGGTGGAAAAGGTCGAGTCACAAATCATAGAAAGGCTCAGGCTGCAAAGTGTTGGTTCTAATCGTCTTACCATACATGCGTACATGAAAACGAAAAGCTTTCTTGTACTATTGGATGACCTATGGAACGAAATTAATCTAGAAGAAGTTGGTATACCATATCCCCTTGGAAATGTAAAGAAACTCAATAGAAAAGTGGTGCTAACAACAAGATTAAGAAAAGTTTGTGGCCAAATGAACGTGAAGAAAGAGTTAAAAGTTGCATATCTGCAGGAGCATGAGGCATGGCAGCTATTTAAAGAAAATATTGATGCCGAAACTCTTTCTAGTCCCCATATTGAAACCCTTGCTAGAGAACTTATGAAGGAACTGAAAGGCTTGCCACTAGCTTTGATAACTATTGGAAAGGCAATGTATCAGAAAGATGAGTATCAATGGGAAACTGCCATCCAATATATGAAACAATCATGCTGCACTGAGGACAAAGACCCAATAGAACTGGGTATGGAAACTAATGTTTTCAGGCAGCTAAAGTTTAGTTATGAAAAATTAAGAAACGACATATTGAGAGATTGTTTTTTGACTTGTGTACTCTGGCCAGAGGATGCGAAGATTCGCAAAGTTGACCTTGCTCAATGTTGGATGGGCTTAGGTCTAGTGAATGAGCATGACATAGAATCTTCCTTTAGGAAATCATATAGTTTGATAGCTGACCTTACAGCTGCATGCTTGCTAGAGGGCAGCGATGCTCACCCAGGATCTTCCTTTGAAAATTCACATGGTTCTGTTAAAGTGCATGATGTGATTCGTGATATGGCTTTATGGATTTCTTGTGACTGTGGTGAGAAGAATGACAAATGGATTGTGGCGGCACCAGGTGACAGAGACAAAAAAGTTATTATCCTTTCGAACAAAGCTGAGTGCATCTCCTTGAGTTTCGACAGAATTCCTATCAGGTTTAATCTTGATCCATTAAAGCTGAGGATCTTGTGCCTTCGGAACAACGGATTGGATGAAAGCATTATTGAAGCAATTAAGAATTGCACTTCACTGACATATCTGGATTTGAGCGGAAACAACCTCAAGAGGATACCGGAAGAATTATGTTCCTTGGTAAACCTGGAATACCTTGATTTGTCAGAAAATGTATTTGGGGAAACTGGAGTGCCTCGATCCTTTGGAGATCTTATCAACCTCAAGTTCTTGTACCTAAAGTCTGGTGGTGGAATACCAGCTGGGGTCATTTCTAGACTTAAAGCATTGCAGGTAATAGACTTGAGGAGTCTCTTAAGAGAATGTACCCTATTCCTATTCCGAGAGTTGGGCACCCTACCTCAGTTGAAAGCGCTTTGTATTCTGGTAAGAGATTTAGCTCAGTTTGAGTCACTAGGAGAAGCGGCAAACCTCCCTGTTAGATATTTGGCTCTAAATGACGTAAGTGCACTCACTCGTATTTTATCAACCGACTTTGCACAAAGGACCTTGTATGAACTGGATATCAATGAAGAAAGATATTTTCTTGAACAAGATATCAATGAAGAAATCGACACTCGAGAAATAACAGTAGAACATGACACAGAACAACCAAGCAATCGTTTTGGTGCTCTCACCAACATCCGATTAACTATGACGAGATCCTTGAGACAGATAAAGTGGATGGGAGCAACTCCATCATTTATATTCCCAAGACTCGCTTATTTGGAATTGTTTATGTGCCAACATCTATCGCACCTCTCTTGGGTTATGCATCTGCCTCGCCTTGAACAACTTCATATAGTTTCCTGTGACGGCATGGTGCAAGCATTTATGAGGTGCCATGGTGACAGATTGTGCAACGGACAGGACAAGACAAAAACATTTCCTCGCCTCAAGCTTCTCTTTCTTATTTATAACGAATCGTTGGAAACTATTGGGGACAATGGTATGGAATTCCCATCCCTAGAGCGACTTGAGCTTGAAGGTAGTCTGGCATTGAAGAGGCTTCCTTTCCGGTCGGACAGTTTGCCACCAAAGCTGAAGGAGCTACGGTTTGATGATGCTAGATGCTGGGAGAGACTAGAATGCGAAGAAGGTGTCAAAACTATCCTGGAACCCTATATTAAATTTGGCAGACGACATCAGGGTTAAAAATTTCAACGAAGCTGATTTGTACGATTAGTAGTTAGTCCATTACATGATGTGGTAGATGTTGCTTTCTCCTGGCCTGGACACTCATGGTGTCAAGTTAAGACACAACTAGCAAAGAATTGTAGTACGTAGGAAATATTCAAGAGAAATTATTGCAGCTGAATTTGTGTAGCTTGCAATTTTTTTTTTTTTGAAATTTGTGTAGCTTGCAAATGATTCAGGGAACATTGGAGAGGATCAGATTCAGATAAGGAATGGAACTGTGTTGCTAGCTAGCTCTCTTGCGCTCCACGGAACAGAAATGTCAAGCCCAATTGTCACCTGGAAAGGGCAAGATTTCTTGGAAATTCAAATGGCATCAGCAGCACCTACTCCCAAGTGAAAATAAGCTGGATGTTGGTCATGTAGAGGTTGATGCAGTTGCCATCGCCGCCCTACCGCAGTAGCTCCTTTGCCACAACCCACCTCAACGACCCACATGCTGCTGCACAACAAGCAACATATATGTTCAGGGAGAAATCAGGAGTCCGAATGGAGGAAGAGGCAGGGGAGCATCCAGTAGGGATTCACGCTGCCCCGCCTTGCTGCTCGCCGCGCCTGCTGTTGCACTCCAGCTGCTCGATGAAATGCTAAAGAGAGAAGGGTTACACTGACAAATGGGGCGAAAATGCTACACTCATAAACGGACGCCGGGTAGGCCAGCCCTCCCGCCTTAATCCAATCACAAGTAATAAGCCAGTAAAGGTCCGTGGGTGTAGCATCGCTGCAAATGGGGCCATGTGCAGCAAAACGATTCAATGTAAGGGTGTGAAATTTTTGTGCCACGTCAGCCTAACTGGTGGGCTCCATCTGTCATAATCTCACTTAACAGAGATAGATCGGCCGATCAGTGATTTTTGCAAAATGATTACACAAGACGTGGTGTTTTCTGTAAAACAAATGTAACATGGTGTTTTCTGCAAAGACTTTATGATGACATTTCGTAAATGCAGATCGAGATGTTTGGTGTTTGTGTCGCCTTGATCCGGGCTCCATACGGGTGGCCCTGGTTAAGCACGATAGTGCATTTCTTCGTCTTGCTTTGGGCTCATGCACATACGATTTCTGGAGCGGCAACAATGAATTGTTTCCTTACCAAGATGAGGGCGATGCCCGTGCCAGTCCTCACACTCACATGGCGGACTCATGTCGTGGTGGGTTTGAACGTACCTCATGTCGTCTTTCAGATAGGTGGAGCGGGGATTCAAGAGGTTTGGTGTGGCCAAGATGAAGACTTGCGTCGGGTCTTAGTGATTTTTTTTTGCTTTTGACGTGTTTGTTTGTTGCGAGTCTTTGTGTGAAAATAAATAAATTAAAAAGCTTGTATCTAAGTATTTGTTCATAGGTTATGTAATTGTGACTAGATTGGTATAGTGGTGGCATGGAATGGATGGTTGGGGTTTTGTTTGGTGACTGCTTGCCTTGGAGTAGTAAATAAAAGTAGAGAAGGTTCTTCATGTGATGAGTGTGAATTTCTCATCCTCCCTCATTGTCATTGTCATTGTCATTGTATGTAAAAATCTCATCTTTCCTTGACTGAAAGAAAGAAAAGCAGAGCAGAGCCGTGGAGTCTCCCTCCCAATCCCAAGTTATAGTCAGTCTGCAAAGGAGTCGTCTTTCTTCCCCTGCTCCGCCGCCGGCGATGGCGCGCAACCCCTGCGACATCCGCCTCCTCCTCGTCGCCGCCGCCGTCGCCTTCATCTACATCCAAGTAAGAATCCCCTTTCCCTTCCTTTCCTTTCCTTTCCTCTGCTCCGCTCCGCCGTGGAACCAGATCCATCCGGGCTCGCCGGTGGGGGATCTGCTCCACCTACCCGCAAATCAGATTAATAATCCTATTTCCTCGATTGTGACTTCCCCTGTTTGCATCTTGTCTTCAGGTGCGGCTGTTTTCCACCCAGTCTTCTTCTTCTTCTAATTCCCACTCTTCAGACGCCGGACGCCTCGCGGAAGCAGTAAGGATTTCTTCTTTTCTTTTCTACCTAGACTTGAGTAGAGTAGGCTCTCTAGTCTAATTGATTTCATTCCCCGCTGCGCTGCCCTGCACTTTTTTTCAAGGAGAAATGCGAGAGCCAGCTGCACGCCATGATCGACCAGGTCAGCGCCCAGCAGGAGAAGATCGCCGCACTTGAAGGTACCTACTTTTACACCTTAGCTTTCCAGTCTGCTCTCACAATTCTGTCTCTCCTGATGCTGTTCCTTGATCAAGCTTCAAATGCTCCAAACACATAATTAGTTAATGTACTTGTCAACATAGATAGGCAGGTGTCTGTCTTCCTTGCTCTATTATGAAATTCCCCCTCATCTCAACTACGATCGCCGATAACCTGACTGTAACGCGTCTGCTGACACTTCTCAACATTATTCCCTGTCTGTACGTTGATGCAACAGAGATGAAGGTACGCCAAGACGAGGAGCGCGTGCAGCTCAAGATTTTAATCCAAGATCTTGAAAGTAAGTATGCAAGTATTGTTTAGTAGGAATATTGTTTAAATATGGCACTGCAATAAATGGTGGTATTGAGTTTAACAATTAGTGCAACGCATTCAGTTTGGGCTGGACGCCGAAATGTTACCGAGACATCGGCAAAAACTTGAAGAATCTAACTCTACTTTTATCATTTCTTTTGGATGCAGAGAGGAGTTTACAGACCTTAACAAACAAGAACGTGGTATGTATGTCATCTTACTAACCTTTATTGCTCTACAGGATCGACCTCATCTCTTTCTGTACATCAGGTTCCTGTCGCCGCTGTTGTCATAATGGCTTGCAATCGACCAGACTATTTGCAGAGGACAGTCGAATCTATCCTCAAGTACGCTCTGTTTTCTCCATTCCTTCATTTCCCAAAACAAGAAAATTTTAATGTCGACTGTTTCCTTTAATTCCCTGAGAGCCCACTCAGTTGATGCCATGTGCCTCAGTTATATGTGAAATCAAGTTGCAACCTCACCAATCATACAACATCTCTTAAGGAAACTGTGGCTGAATTACTCTCTAATCTGATTATGAAGCCTACTTGCTCCCTTTACATCCATGTAGCTTTAGTTTGTAGAACAGTCTTCCTGACAAAATAAATGATGGACAATATCTTTTCCAGGTATCAGAAAGCAGTTGCTTCAAAGTTCCCACTGTTTATATCACAGGTACTCTGGTGGTAGTAATTTCAGTTCTTGTTTTCAGTATCTTTAACTGTGTGGGAAGGAAATTTTTACACTGCTCCTTCCAATCGCAGGATGGAACAAATGGAGAAGTAAAAAAGAAAGCTTTGAGTTACACTCAAATAACATTTATGCAGGTGCGGAAAGAAACACTTGCTTTATGCTTCTTAATTGCCTGATAGAATCGAACAACTCTGTTTCTCTTGTAATATTGTTAGCATATCTGATACTACATGTCATGCATGACTGCTCATACCAAGTAGGCATATAAGTACAAAAATTGAAATAAAAATTTGGCCTGCAAGAAGCTGGAGATGTACCGAGAGGTGGTAGCGAATCTAGATGGGGTAGGACTGTATTTGAGACATATCAGAGCAACGCTAATCCAACAGCAACATGGCTTAGCCACAACCCACAAGGGAGACATGTTCACTTATGGCATCTTGATGTGCTGCTTTTTAAGAGAGCACTAGATTATTTTGGTACTGGGAAAGTAGGTTATGTACGTAGATGTCAGATGCAGTGATATCAGTGGTCCAAACATGAAATGGTCTTCCCCTGGTACAACATCGATGGGAACTGCTACCCTCAAGGAAACGATGCAATGAAGTGGGAGGGGGGTGGGGGGAGGTTACTGAATTTGGATGATTCTCTTTTCGAGTTTCAGTCTTCTCTACATAGCGTTTCCAGTATTTCTCTAAGAGTGCAGGCAAATGATTTGTTTAGCTAGCACTCAGTGTTCTTTTCGCCTTTGATGTGTTGCAGCATGTGGATCTTGAGCCTGTGCGCACTGAAAGACCAGGAGAAAACATTGCATATTACAAGATAGCTAGTAGGTGGTCCTCAATTGATGAGTGTTTTCTTAGGAGTTGATGATATGATTGATTCTTGTCCTAATGATGTTTCTTAACTCAGACCACTATAAATGGGCCTTGGATGAGCTATTCATTAAGCATGATTTTCGTCGAGTAATCATTCTGGAAGGTCTGATTTCTTTTTGATGATTCTTTGACTGTCTTGTTCTTTGATATTTTCCGCATGCCATCTCATTTCCATGGTTTATTGGTTAACAGATGACATGGAGATCGCCCCAGATTTCTTTGAGTACTTCGAGGCTGCAGCGAAATTACTTGACACTGACAAGTATGTTACTACTGTACTCTATTTTATACTCCCTCCGTCCCATAATGTAAGACGTTTTTTGACACTACACTAGAGCCAAAAAACGTCTTACATTTTGGGACGGAGGGAGTACATGGCAAGACAGTGAAGTAATATCAGGTGTGTCTAATTATGTTACTGTGATTGTTGTCGTTGTGGCATTGAAGGTCGATAATGGCTGTTTCATCTTGGAATGACAATGGGCAAAAGCAGTTTGTTTATGACCCAAGTTAGTATTCTGATAGGCCTCTGTTCAACTTTATTTCCGCATTAATAGGGAAAGATACTCATTTTTCTACATAACCCATTGCAGAGGCTCTTTACCGTTCGGACTTCTTTCCTGGGCTTGGATGGATGCTAACGAAGTCAACATGGATGGAGCTGTCACCAAAGTGGCCCAAAGCATATCCTTACTGCTGCCTACTGAATCTTACATTAGCATATGTATACTTTTTTAACTACCTTGTATCATCTGCTTCTTCCTTGACAAGAGTTTACTTATTGGGATGACTGGGTGAGGCTAAAGGAGGTACACAGAGATCGGCAGTTTATTCGGCCAGAAGTATGCAGAACATACAACTTTGGCGAGCATGTATGTTGGCAAATTTATGACTGCATTTTCACATGCTATAATAAGCAATATCTTAGCCCTTCAATATTTAGAGCCATTGGTTCTGGATTGCTGGCATTTACACTTGGGTTTTTGTTCTTCCGTTCCAGGGATCAAGCATGGGACAATTCTTTGATCAATACTTGAAACCAATCAAGTTAAATGATGCTCATGTATGCAGATCTTCCCATGTGTTTAAATTTTATAAGCTCTTTGTTGCTTGAGACTTACTTGTGCCCCTCTTGTGGTCACAGATTGACTGGAATTCCGAGGACCTGAGCTACCTCAAGGAGGTAAGGATTATTAATCTGTTATTCAGAGAGAAAGTTGCTGTTTCCATAAGGGCGTGCCTAATACTTGTGCTGGTGGCATCAGGACAAGTTTCTGACCAAATTTGGAAAAGACGTGGCTAGCGCCACACCTGTGCATGGATCCGATGCTCTGTTGAAGGCTCACAATCTGGATGTGGACGTAAGGATTCAGTATGACAATCAGGGCGACTTCGAGCGTATAGCTCGTCAGTTTGGAATATTTGAAGAGTGGAAGGTTCCTTGCTAACTCAATCCAATTCTTAACCTTTTTCATTGTCAAGTGAGCCAAATTACAGTTTCTGTGTGACGTCTGAAGAGTGATCTTTGCTCTAGTAGGAAATGCGTAACAATCTGAGTATTATAGTCTTCCAGTAGAAAACATGACGGCTCATGTTCTGTTTTTTCTGCCCTTGTTTCGCAGGACGGTGTCCCACGGGCGGCTTACAAAGGCGTGGTGGTGTTCCGGTACAAGAGCAGCCGAAGACGGATATACCTGGTGGGCCCCGACTCTCTTGGCCAACTCGGGGTTTAGCTTAGCGTTGCCAAGGTGGGGAAATCTGTCGACGACGTGGGGAAGTTGACGCCCTGATGTAGCAAAACATTGAATGACGGGTGCAAATTGAATGCACAGTTGCCAAGGATATTTTTCCTTTTTTATGATGGATGGATGGATGGATGGATGGGGGGTGTTTGTTTCGCCCTCGAGTCAGGTCTCGAGGGGTTTCGCTGTTCATCCAGAGTGGAGGATGGGATAGAGTAGAGTAAGAGCAAGGGAAGAAGAGCGCAGGGTGTAGAGATGTATTGACAGAGATACATTATTTGGCTGGGATTCATTCATCCATGTCCATGTGTGTGTGTGTGTGTGTGTGTGTGTGTGTGTGTAGTTAGCTGAAGGGTTTGTTTGTATTGAAGCAAGTTTGTGAGTGTGTTTACTAGTTACATGATGATCTAACAAGAATATATGTATAATGGTTCCCTTTAGCTGACATGGCATTATGCTTGAGAAGAGAAGAAAATTGTTGCTTGTGTTTTTGAATATTGGTTATGCTGGTTTTGAAGTTTGAAGCTGTGTGTCCATGTGAGAAGAGTCCAGTCTAGGCAGCAATATCCATATGTATATCTCTGTCTCTGTCTCTGTCAGTGTGTGTAGCAGGGTAGTTGGGTTGGAATGGGTTGGAATGGATCAAAGACTAGAGAGAGGTAGGTGGGAATGGATCAAGTCCCATCCATTTGATGATGTTTAATGCAGAAGAAGATAATGACAGTGATTAGACTTATTGGCTGATAAAGAGAGGAAAGAAAAGGGAACCCAGGTAGCACATTCTACTTAGTAAGTAGAATTATTTGAGTTGACCAAAACACAACTCCAAGAGGAACCAGCCAGCCAGCCAGCCAGCCATCAATTATTTGACTTTTGTTAAAACAGCCACACATATATGCAACTTTTGTCTTTTTTCTTTTTACTTATATATGCTAGTTCCATCTCAAAATGTAAGACCTTATTTTAGCCTAAAAAGGTGTTACATTTTGAGAGGGATGTAGTAGTAGTAGTAGTAAAGTTGAATGAGGTTAGTAGGTGGTGGAGTAAAATTAAATTAAGAAGAAGGAAGGAAAGAAAGAAAGATAGAAAGAGGGTTTCTTGTGTGGCAGTAAAAAAGAAGACTGCTCTTGTAGTTTCTTTTATTATTAACAAGAAAGAAATAAAGGAAAAAAAGAAAGATGGTTGATTGATTGAGGGTTGAGTCGTTGTTGTTGTTGACCTTGGGACAGGGTAAACGGCAAACTTTGCTTTGGTTTTGGGGCCTGGTCTTCCATTTCCATCTGCATCTGCATTTGGTGGTGGTGGATTCAGTCAGTCAGTCGGATCCTACTACTACTACTGTAGTAACTTTGGCAGTATGAATATGAAATAAAAAGAGCAACTTTCTTTCATTTCATTTCATTTTCGAGCTGTCGTCGGCAGGCAGCACAGCTGCTTCTTCTTCTTTCTTCTTCCCCTGCCTGCCTGCGACTTTGATTGATTCAGCTCCCCTCCTCGTCGCCCTCCATTCCTTGTCCTCCCCTCCTCTTGCTGCTGAGGACGCGCCGCCGACTCTCCTCTTGCTGCTGCGCCCCGCCGCCCCCGCGCAGATCCAAGAAAGAAAGAAGAGAAAGAAATCGATTTCTTCTCCCTCCGCCCATCTCCACCTCATCATCTCTATCAGGTTTGCTCCCCTCTGCTCTGCTCTTTACTTTAATTGATGATCCCCCGCTGCAACCGCAACCACCAAACAAATATTACTGCTTCATCAGAGTGTCCTCCCCATTGATTTTGGGTTGCCCTCCCCATTGATTTTGATTTCTAGTATTGGATTGGGTTGAGGACAAGTTTTCTAGGTTTGGACCTTCAATTCAATTCCATTCCATTCCTAGGTAAGGTAGGGTAGCAGCAGCAGCAGCAGCAGCTTACTTAGTTTTGACTACCTGAACCTGCAGGTCAATCTCTAGGCCTGTAGCTGTATGTAGGCTCTGTAATTCAATTCAGATAAGCACTACACCTATCTATCATCATTTTCATTTCAATCTCATTTCGTTTCACCTATGTTTATGTATGCCATATATCCTCTCCACAAACATATATAGATAGGCCATTTCTCACTCTAGATAGGTACCCAATTCCTACACTAGATACATAGGTAGCAGCAGCTTAACTGATTGATTTGAACTATCCACCTGCTCCCATATCATCCTTGTGCCATTTCTTTATCTCTCTCTCTTCCTTGCTCCATCAAAACTGCTTCATCATTCATCTTTAACACAGTATATTAGGTTCAATTTTGCTTCATCATTCATCTTTTAACATAGGCTCTGGTAGAATGCACAACATCCTATCCTATCCTATCCTATCACTAGTGCCTGGGCTGGGACACCAAGCAAGTCTTCATACATTCACATACAGACAGACAGGCACCCTTTTATCCAATATTTTAATTTGCTCAACAAAACTCCCTTTTACTCCCTCTGCATCTTAATATAAGACGTTTTCTGAAAGTGTCAAATCAAAAAACGTCTTATATTTTGATGCACACCACACGGAGTATTATCAATGGCCTACTTAATTTAGCTCCCTGCTGCCATGTGCCAATTACTTAACTTTCTGGTTTTAATCATGTTTGTGTTCCTTCCATCACCCTAACCTTGGTTTCAACTCCACCAAACTAAGTGCACTATTGCTACTGCTGCTAATTCACAACAAATATCAGTGACAGAGGAGGAGCGTTCTGAAGGTGTCTATGCCGCTATATATACCAGATAACTCAACTTTACCAAAACAAATTCAGTGAACATTGCTATTGCTGCTGCTGTATCTATGCCGATATTAAATCTTAGCATTTATATTCCCCAAGTGTATCTTCACCTATCCATAAGTTGGGAATAAGTGTATATTCAGGTTACAGGCACCTCTCCAAAGTTTGCTCAACACTCCCCTTTATGCATATGTCTAGTTAGCTCACTCACTGGTCCTTCAGAACTCCCCCTTTAATCATGTTTATTTATGCTCCGTCCATCACCAGCCCCAATCTTAGTTTCAAATTCCACAAACTGCACTATTGCTATTGCTGCTGCTGCTGTATTAATTAATCCTTACAATCTATATATATATACCCAGGATCTCGACTTCACAAAATCTTATTGCTATTGCTGCTGTATTCATGTCAATATTAATTATTTCCTACAATATATATACCCAAGATATATTGCCAAAACTACTAGTTCACTGCACCACTGCTATTTCTGCTGCTGTTGCTGTATCTACGCCGCCAGTATTAATTCTTACCATATGTACCTCGCAATTCGTTATCTGACTCGTGTGGCATCTGCACTGAACAGCTGCAAGATGATGGCCCGGAATTCAGACGGCGAGCTGGAGGAGCAGTCCACGGAGGGGTACCAGGAGGCGGCGTTCGAGGCCTTCATGTGCCCGCTCACCAAGCAGGTCATGCAGGACCCAGTCACCATCGAGACCGGCCAGACATTCGAGCGCGAGGCCATCCTCAAGTGGTTCAGGGAGTGCCGCGACAACGGCCGCAGGCCCACCTGCCCGCTCACGCAGCGCGAGCTCCGCACCACCGACATCAACCCCAGCATCGCCCTCCGCAACGTCATTGACGAGTGGAGGGCCAGGAACGACGAGAAGGACCTTGAGAAGGCCTGCAACGCCCTCAGGCTGCACCCCGAGGACGACGAGGACGAAAGCGTGCGCGCCATGGCCTACATCTCGCAGATATGCCAGCGGAGCGGCGCCAAGAAGAACCTCGTGCGCGCCCAGGGCATCATATCCACGCTCGCCGACTTGCTCAAGAGCAGCAGCAGGAGGGTCCGCCTCAAGTCCCTGCAGGTCCTCCGCACCGTCGTCGAGGACAATGATCAGAACAAGGTTCTTCTTTTCTTACCTTCCCTTCCCTCCTCAAGTCCTGAACTCCTGATGGATGGATGGATTTTCCACAGTTGGTCCAGTGTATATGCTAGCTATTCAAGTAAGTAACTATACGTATATGTTTGCAGGAAGAGCTGGGGAAGGGCGACACGGTGCGCACGATCATAAAGTTCCTGTCGAACGAGCATATCCAGGAGAGGGAGCTTGCGGTTTCCCTGCTGTATGAACTCTCGGAGTATGAGCCCGTGTGCGAAAGGATCGGCGCGGTCTATGGGGCCATACTGCTGCTGGTTGGCATGGGGAGCAGCAAGTCGGAGAACATGATGGCCGTGGAGAAAGCAGAGAAAACGCTCAAGAATCTGGAGAAGTATGACACTAACATCAAGCAAATGGCTGAAAATGGCAGGCTGCAGCCTCTCCTCACCAAACTGCTTCAAGGTTTGCATCATTATCTTCACTTTGCTTCATCATGTACTATTATAGTTTTGCTAATTCTGAGACTTTCTCACGGTCTGGTCCTCTGTTTTGAACTGCAAAAGGGGGATTATTTTAATTTGGAAATAATATGAACTGGTACATTCTCCTCACCAAACTGCATCAGGATCTTCATTTTTGCTTCACCATGTATTCTCTATTCTGTGAATTCTGAAACCTTCTGACATGCTGGTCTTTTGTTTTGAACTAGAACTTTGTACAAGGAAATCTGAAAATAACATAAACCATTTCAGTCTCTAGGTCTCTGTTTTGAACAACTGCAGAAAGGGAATTAGTTTGGAAATGATATATGGACCGTTTCAGTGCTCTTAATTAGATGAGCTTCTTTTGAAATGCAGGAGGGCCTGAGGTGCAGGTTACCATGGTTGAGTACCTCGGGGAGCTCGCGTTGGCCAACGACGTGAAGGTGGTGGTGGCGGAGCAGGTTGGAACTTTGCTGGTGAGCATCATCAAGACCGGCGGCCTGCCGGCGAGGGAGGCGACACTGAAGGCGATTAGGGAGATGTCATCCAACGAGCTGAGCGCCAAGATACTGCTGCAGGCCGGCATCCTGCCGCCGCTGGTCAAGGACCTCTTCTCCGTCGGCGCCAGCAGCCACTTCCCCATGAGGCTCAAGGAGG